GTTAAATGTATTTTTATTTCAGGTTTAATTCTATTATTTTAGTTTGAGTTTTTATTTATTTCAGCTAGTAATTTTAGTGCTTCAGCGTAAGCTTATTTAATTTAGTTTCATTGAATCTAATATTTATATTTTATTCTGCTTCAAGTTCATTTCAATTACCAAAAATGTTTTTAATAGTTTTCATTTTAGTTAACAAAAACAAACCTGGTCCCAGTAAGATCTTATTTTGAGTTCAAATTATAGCAAATTGTGCTTTGCAATTTTGACAAGTTGATCAAAAAATGAAATTTAAAAAAGGATATAAATAATTCTGTTGTTTTTGTAATGCAAAACATTTGGTTTTATACAGTGCATTTAGAAATTAAAATTAATACTTGAAATAACATTTATTGCAAGCTCTGTTAGTTTAATAAATGGTTCTGAACAATATTTCTCTCTTTGTTTAAGTGACAATGTTACTTAAACTGCTGTAAATTCACAAATATTATGGTAACACGGTAATTTGTAGGAAGGATTTTATTGTTTTTTTAACAGTTAACTTGTACATGCATGCAAACTATCAGTGTTGTGTGACGTGTCTATATACACGCACACACACACACACACACTCACACACACACTCACTCACTCAATCACACACACACACTCACACACACACACTCACTCATACACACACACTCATACACACACACACACACACACTCACGTACACACAAACACACACACACACTCACTCAATCACACACACACACTCACACACACACACTCACTCATACACACACACACACACGTACACACAAACTCACTCACTCACTCATACACACACACACACACACACACTCACTCACACACACACACACACACACACACACACACACACACACACACACACACTCTCTCTCTCACACACACACACACTCACTCACACACACACACGTGCGCACACACACACACACACACCCACTCATACACACACACGCGCGCACACACACACACTCATACACACACACGCGCCACACACACACACACACACACACACACACACATCCTTTTGTCTACAGGAACTGATGCAATAAGAGCGCTCCGTTGCAAACCCCGCCCTCGCTGCATATACTGCGCTGATTGGTTTGACGCCCCAGCATCTCGTCTCTCATTGGTCCGTTCGCGCGTCAGTCAGAGCGCTGTCCGCTGCACATGGAGGGAAGGAAGCCACGTTGACATCAATTAGTGTTTTTACAGTTTGATAAACTAGAACACCGAACCGAATCTTCCGTTCACCGTGAGTCTCGGCGGAGGTGAGAAAATGTTCAGTTTCCTGAGATGAATCATGATAATGATGTATCAGGCTAGGCTGCAGCATTAGGAAGCATTATTCACATGCACTGATTATACTAACAATAACAACATTTTTAGAATGCATTTCTTTGTGTATATAATAACAGTATTACTGTAGTTGATGTACAATGAAATAAACACATTTTACAAATGGTCTTGATGTTGCAATGTAGCAAATAATATGTAATCGATGCTACAATGTAACAACTTTAAGTGCAGTTGATGTTGCAGACATATTGTAACTTTTAAAATTCTCCTCCAGCTTTATAATGACACAGATTCTGTTTTAAGAATACATCAGGGCACTGTCAATGCCAAGGTCATGGTTTAGAGTTCCAGTGAATGCATGAACTGAATAAGTTTAAGTTGCTTTGGATGAAGTGTGTGATATATATGTATATATATATATTTTGTAATTAATATTTTCTTGTGCTCGTGTTTTGTCAGGTGTGTGGTTATCATCAGGATGAGTGTGGGCTTCATCGGAGCGGGTCAGCTGGCACATGCCCTGGTCAAGGGCTTCACAGCGGCGGGTCAGAACCGGGTCAAGATGACCATACTCTAACACTAATGAACTTTAGTCTCACGACTGATCAGAATTGTGTTTACATCCGCTACTGGCCAAAAGCTTGAAAGAAGTCTCTTCTGCTCAGCAAGGCTGCATTTATTTAATCAAAAATACTGTAAAAATTGTTTTCTATGTGAATCTCTGTTAAAGTGTAATGTATTTCTGTGATGCGCAGCTGTATTTTCAGCATCATTCCTCCAGTCTTCAGTGTCACATGATCTTCAGAAATCAGTATAATTTTCATTCTCATATTTTTGTGGAAACCATAATATTAACGCGAAAGTCTAGTCATCTTAAAAAATTTTTTTTTTAAAAATGTTTTTATTCATCTAGGACGCATTAAATTGATCAAAAGTGACAAAGACATCTATAATGTGACAAAAGATTTCTATTTCAAATAAATGCTGTTCTTCTGAACTTTCTGTTCATCTGTGAATCCTGAAAAATTAAATGTATCACGGTTTCCACAAAAATATTGTGCAGCACGACTGTTTTCAACATTGATAATAATCAGAAATGTTTCTGGAGCAGCAGATCAGCATATTATACTGATTTCTGAAGATCATGTGACACTGAAGACTGGAGTAATGATGCTGGAAATACAGCTGCGCATCACAGAAATACATTACAGTTTAACAGAGATTCACATAGAAAACAGCTGTTTTACATTATAATAATATTTCACTATTTTTAAGTATTTTTGATTAAATAAATGCAGCCTTGCTGAGCAGAAGAGCATATATTTTGACCAGCAGTGTGTTGTAGTTCTGTGATTCATGCAGTTCAACAGTTCACAGTGTCCACGTCTGTCAAGCTCCTAAAATAACAAACCATACAATTAATGTGACATCGTTGTATTTATTCCACGTCTTGCTATTGTTTTTGGTTTCTGAATCTGTCCAAAGCTCATATTTCATCCTCATTTGTCTGTTTTTCAGGTGTAATTGCTGCGAACAGAATTACAGCAAGTTCACCGGACACAGATCTGCCGACAGTCTCCAGCCTACGGGTGTGTAAACCTGAACTCTGTGAGACTGTGAGTGTGAGACTGTGAGTGAGAGTGTGAGACTGTGAGTGAGAGTGTGAGACTGTGAGTGAGAGTGTGAGACTGTGAGTGAGAGTGTGAGACTGTGAGTGAGAGTGTGAGACTGTGAGTGAGAGTGTGAGACTGTGAGTGAGAGTGTGAGACTGTGAGTGAGAGTGTGAGACTGTGAGTGAGAGTGTGAGACTGTGAGTGAGAGTGTGAGACTGTGAGTGAGAGTGTGAGACTGTGAGTGAGAGTGTGAGACTGTGAGTGAGAGTGTGAGACTGTGAGTGAGAGTGTGAGACTGTGAGTGAGAGTGTGAGACTGTGAGTGAGAGTGTGAGACTGTGAGTGAGAGTGTGAGACTGTGAGTGAGAGTGTGAGACTGTGAGTGAGAGTGTGAGACTGTGAGTGAGAGTGTGAGACTGTGAGTGAGAGTGTGAGACTGTGAGTGAGAG